GGAAGTTTATTAAAGTCTTTTTTACTGTCATCAAGTAATATCAAACAATCACTATTTTCTGTTATGGCCTAAAAAAAAATCATTTCAAATTTTATACAATGTGTAATAAATTGTTAATTAGTTGTATAGTAGGTGTCGAAATGTAGACGGCCAAGTGTCATTAAATAGGTCACTGTAAATTGTATGTAAATAGGTAATTAATTTGTTAAATTTATTTATTTTACAATCCCTATATTTCAATTCAAAACTATTTTATTATATTCCGATTTATTAAATTGTTATTTTTAGTTTAAATATTTGATTCGTCAAAATTATAACTTAAAATGAGTATAAAAAAATTATGCAGATGTATATTTTGAATATTCCTAGACAGACTGCTATAAAAAAACTCATACGATATATAGATTTTTAACTAAAAAACAAGGAATTTGAAGATTTCCATGAGTTTGACAAAATATAAAGGTCATCTAAATTTTAACTTCTTATGCATAGGTACCTAAGTTATAAAAAAAAAATTGTGTGTATTTTTGAAATTTAATAGTCCATAAGTACAATTTATAGAAGAAATCTTGTTTAAAATTGTTTTTTCTTAAGCTTTTAGACTGAACAGTGAACATCATACATTTTTTAAAAACCTTTATCATAGAAGATGTGGCGTGATAATAATTTCCAATTGGTATTTGGAGGGTAATAAGTGTGACCGCGAATGATTTAACTATTTAAGCTTAAGTCTGATAAACATTGTAATTAACATTGTTATAGGATATTTATCATTGATGTAATTGTTATGTTTATACCATTAACATTTATTATTATAATTTATTAATTATAAATAATAAATAATTTTGGCGTAATTTAAGTATTTAACATGTTAAGAACATGCTTATAATTGATAAGAATAACTTAATCAAAAGCCTAGGTTAAAAAAATTTTAAATTCAAATTCAATTTGTTTTTGTTCCTATATACAGTATATACACATAAAGTCAATACAATTAATATATAATATATATGTTGTAGCCACTTCGTGAAATTGATCTTTTCGTGAAAAGATAACCATTTAGTGAAATGGAAACACGTTTTTCACACTTTGTGAAATAAATTCAAAAATATTTCACGAAATGGTCACTTTTTCATGAAATGGTCACTCAAATTTAAAATCGTGTAATTTTTTTCACAAAGTGGTCGTTCACTTTGTGTACTGAGATGCAACATTTAACAACTTATTCTACCTTTCGGCTTTCTATCCTTATAGATTTAACTTAAATAATTATGTATAGTAATTGTTTATTTACATAATATTAATTTATTAACCGTATTGTGCCTAAAGGCTTCGGTCGCTAAACTCTCGTTGGATGGGGACTTGGCCTCCAAGCTCCAAACCTCCCGAGACTAAAATAACCAACCTGGGGGGAGGGGACAAGCATCCGTGTCCTTCAGGCAGATCCCCTAACAAATAAACCAAGATAACCAAACAGTCCGAACTCTGAGGTGAAAAAAGTCCGAGTAATCAACTCGCCTAAGTCTACTTTGCACGGCATTAAAATAATGTTACACACATGCGTATAAACGTAAAATCTTAACCTTTGAAAGGCTATAACTTCCAACATAATGGTTTCGCAAAAAAATTCAAACAGTTTCAAAATCAGCATTGAAAATTACGTCTTTAAAAAAATTTTAAAATTCTCGTGGTTTAGTGCATTTTAGCTTTTTTTTTTTTGTATATTAACCACGTAAAATTTTGGTGTGCTATAGTAATTCAATTTAATTTGTTTAATTGAATTATATATTTCAATAATATGAATAGATCATATTTAATTTAATATGTTACTACGTATTCTATATAGTATAATATAAGTACTTACCGAGCGTCTCAGACAAGTAAAATCACTGATAGATACCTATGCTTATCACATAATAATTTTAATAGATCAATTAACTCGGTGAAGTTTTCCATTTCATTTTACAAATATGAACTTCAATTTTACCACGGAACCATATGTGATATGTGATTGATTTKATTATTTTAAGCAATTTAAATCATAAAATTCTAAAACATTATAAATTGATCAAAAATAAGAATAAAAATGAACATATTTTGTAAAATACGGGAAATTTTTGTGATTCCGTTCGTTCTTACAGCTGGTTACACTGTACGTGTCTACTGATAACGATTGTTTATATTATTTAATATTTTGGGATGCAGATGAATAATTATATTTTATATATTTTAATTATAGTTAGATATAGATACTTATTACTTGGAAACTAGACTAAGATACTCATGGCTAATTTGTTATACCTATTTATGTCGTAAACCAAAATATATAAATGTAGTCACTAGTTTTATTTTTCTAAAATTGTTGACAGTCAAAATGGCAATGAAGCCCAATTAAAATTTTATTTGAAAATTATTGTCTGTGATGGATACTTCTGCAAAAACCGACGAATCCCAAAACTCCTCCACGCAGCAGGATGGCGAGAATAAACTTAAAATATTTGAWAAAATTGTGTATTTTTCAAGTGGTTCGATCGGAGATGAGGTAAGTATCGACTAGTATGCTCACGGAATCGTTAATATTGGTGTTTTAAATGTTTTAGGCATTATTGGTGCTCAAAAACAGCAATGCCGAATCAACATGTTTGTTATCTGATTCAGTTACACATTGTATTGTCGGAAAAAATTATGCAGAAGCTGATGTTAGTGCTGCAAGAGAATTATATGATGTCACTACTGTAACTCCAGAATGGATCCGAATGTCTGTTTTGTGCAATAAACTTCTACCGTATCCTTTTTACTACATT